ACGCCCAGCACCTAAGACCCAGTGCTTGCAGCCTGTGCCTGGATGGACTGGGGAAGCCTATCCCTGGGATCCCTGCTCTGCTCGCTCTGCAAGGACTAGGCCGCCCCCTGAGATGCTGGCTTCCAGGCACGCAGGAGCCCATTTCCAGAGGGGGAGGAGACCAGCAATGGGAAGATTAGCCACTCCCTGGCTTCCACTGGGGGATCAGTAATTTCAATAGTACTTTGTGAGTTCACCCTCAAAGTAAATGGTTAATTCATCTTGTATCAACAGCACTGTGATTCATAATGTAAACTGGGAGAATCCTTGATGTTTCGGGCCCACATTCCTTTTAATTTGGCTCTGCATTCTTTTAAAGCCACAGTGTGCTGGCCTAATAGAATGCAGCATGCAAATGCTGGAGATTTTGCCTGGAGGCGATTTAGCCTGGCTGTTTCAATGGAGGCCTCCTTTCAAGTGTATGTGCTTTCTTAAATTATTTACTGGGTAAACACACTTTGCATTTTCAAAAAGGAGATTGAGACTGCTGGCTGCATCCCGACTTCTTGAACCAACGGGGAGAGCCCACACTTGCGCACAGTCAAGGGGACGTTGACTCCGGGTTTCCCTCCCATGTTCTGTCTGGGTCTCCCGAACCGGGGAACCCTCCTTTCTGCCAGCAGGCAGCTCCTGACTTCTTCCCAGATGGGGCCCACCCAGGCCAGCCCTTGTTCCCCCTCCAAAGTGGCAACTCAGAGGCCCCAGCTGCTCACTTTCCTGATCATCCAACCCAACCCAGCCCCTCGCTTACAGGCCATTTCCGATCGATGGCCACCCAATGTAGGTTACAGAGTGGAACCACCCTTCAGGGTTTCTGGGCTGTGATTTTTAATGTGAACTCACTGCCATCGAATCGATTCCACCTCACAGCCAGCCACTCCAGGGGACCAGGTAGAACTGCCCCTGTGGGTTTCTGAGACGAACACTTTAAGGGAGTAGAAAGCCTCGTCTTCCATTTCCGTTCCCCCAGCCCCAGGAGCAACCGGTGATTTTGAACTGCTGACCCTGTGGTTAGCAGCCCAAGTAGCCACTACGCCAGCAACATACCTGGTCTTTAGAGCAAAAAGAAAGAAAGCCCTCAAGGAGTCGGAATGACAACCACGAGCTCCAGCATTGCAACGGTGGGACAGACGGCCCAGGGTTCTGTACTGTGGTGTATAAAGCCACTGGGGCTCGGAGCCTACTTAATGGGGCCTGAAAATAGCCACCCATTTCTTCTGTGGCGCTTTTGGGTGGGTCTGAACCACCAACCTTTAAGTTAGTAGTCGGGTGCCATTATAGAGTTTGCACCACCCAAAGGCTTAGTCCTGATCCTTCGAGAGGCAGTACCTGCTCAACACCTTTGGGGGTCAAAGCTATGGTGGTCTGACCAGAATCAAGCTCACTGACAACCCCTCACAGTTCTGACCCTTTTTTGGACTCTCAATATCATTCATCCCAAAAAGCTGCCAGCCTTCGCTTTGGGATAGAATCCCTAACTGGTGGCAATGGCTAACACACTGTTAAATGGAAAGGTAGGAAGGAGCCCTGGTGGTGTAGTGGGGTACACGGTGGGTTGCTAGCCACAAGGTCCACAGTTCAAAACCACAAACTGCTCGGTAGGAGAAAGATGAGGCTTTCTGCTCCCATAAAGATTGACAGACGCAGAAACCCAGATGGGGCAGTTCTACCCTGCCCTCTTGGGTAAGTTGGAATTGACTCGATGGTACAGTGAGATTTTGAACGGAAAGGTTGTGAAGTCCAGTGCGCCCCAAACCTCCTTGGAAGTCAGCACAGTTCGCCTCTGACACACAAAGTCGATTGGCTCAGCAGCAACCCCCAGACTGGTGGTGTGAAAGCACATGTCCATGTCCATGTCCACAGGGATCTGGCTTTTCCTCACGTTGGGCATAAGTACCAGTCATGCTGGGAGCAGACACTCCTCAGATCAAGTTCCCACTTTGAGGCTGCTCTTTGACCTTGTCAATCCAGGCTTTCCACGGAGGCTCCGTGCAACTTAAACGAGATTTCCTGCTCTTCTGTCTTGAATGGAATGACGATCCCTTCCTTTCCTTCAGTCTCCAGGACAGTTTTCTTTTCAGTGTCCAGCTGTCTGACACTGAACCCACAATGAAGGAGGGAGTGGTGAGGTGGGGCTATCAGAAACCCCTGAGCAGCAAGCGGTGAGGAAGAGCCATTTGGGGGCCAGGTGCTGCATGAACGAAACACCTGAGCGGTTGGGGCGGCTCGCAGCCACTGAAGCACACTCCTCTCAGGCCTGCAATGTGGGAAGTCCACGGAGGAAGGCCCAGGACTAGAGGAAGATGGGATTCGTGGCCTTTCGTTTTGCCAACCAGACCTCAGATGGAACAAGTAACCCCCCCCCCCCACAGTTCATCCTTTTGTAAATTAGCCTCACAGATGCCTGGGGGCCTCCGCCCACAAATAAAATGGTTGTCAACCCAGCACTCAAGGCACGTGACCATCTATTACTTGAGGCCGGATTTTAAAAAGGCTTCACGCTTTTCATCTGTTTCGCTGCTGGGTTTCAATTCCCCACGTCTCTCCTCTGCACGTCTGAGGAGGGAGGTGGCAAATAGAGGCTGTGACGGACCTGGGAAAGCGGGGTACGTAGGGCCCAAGGGGAAGACCCACTTTCCGGAGAAAAGGAGTCCCGAGTCCATTTGGGTTTTCATTGAAGCCACCAAGTCGTGCTGCTGGTCAGACTCCATAATGAGCTTCCCCGTGGGGGTCTATTTTGAGTTAGTTTTTTGGGAGGGAACTGAGAAACTCCCTACCTTCAGAGTAAATACGGCCTGTTAGGTCGGAATGAGCTGTCATCACAGAAGAATTAATGCTGGGGCACAGCCTTTCTAGTGGGGAAGGAAAGAAATAAACGAGACAGATCGTAGCCGAGCCTCCATGATAAATGAGGACCCAGCAGACCATATTCATCTCCTGCGAGGGAAGTGGACACAGGCCCCGGCGCAGTTTCGCGGAAGACGGGTCAGCAAATGCGATCGTTTTGTAACCTGTCAGCAGGAGAGGGGGCCAGTCCTCTTAGGGGGCCACGCGGGGAGTGGGTTTGTCTGATGTGACAGCATCCATCCGTCCATGGAGGTTTAGGGAGGGGAGGGAGCCGAGGATGTGGAAGGACTTGACTAAAGCTACTTACTGTCTGATGCCACCGACCTTCCAAGAAAGGCACTCGCAGGGAAGCTGGAGAACGTGCTGAAGTGTTATTTTGGAGAATTTGAAGTGGCTGCAGTTCCACTCCCAGATGTGCCCTGAGACGCTAAAGCAGCAGGGACTCCAGGACATACCTGCCCACCGATGAGTTTTGACAGCCGCCAGGTGGAAGCCACCCGTGAATCCATCCACAGATGAAGGGCCCACTGGACATGATAACACGCAATGCAAATGGACTCAGCCCTGCAGAGGAGTGAAGCCCCGGGACACACTACACCAGGGTGATGCTGAGGGGATCAGTCCCAACACTGGTCCCACTGATGTGAAGTAGCTGGCACGGGCAGATGCACAGAGAGCAGGGAGTACTACCGGCTGCCAGGGGCTGGGGAATTGGGGGGGAAGCGAGTTCTTGCGGAAAGGGCAGGGAGTTTCTCTGGAGATTGATGAAATTGGGGAAACCTCGTTGGGGTGATTGCACAGCCTGGCAAACGGAACGGATGCCGTTAAATGGGACATGTGAAAATAGTTGAAGTGGAAAGTGTGGTATACGTTTTAGCACAATGGAATTTTTAAACAATCATTCAAAAAAAGAAAGAAAATCAGAGGATAGAGTCTGTTAAAGTGGAAGACCCACCTCACCCTCTCTTTGGAAGACCCCGTCCAGTGTTCCGTGTCTCCAGCCAGCAGCAGGCTTTTTCTTGGTTCCTCTTTTGAGGATGATGGGTAGATTTGGAGACGGTTGGGTTGGGCTCGAGGCTTGGTTGGGTTGGTTTAGGAGCACGGCAGGATTGGGCTTGGCCCGTGGTTGGTGCCTTGGGCTCTGGCTGGATGTTGAGCTAGCTAGTCTGCCAGCACTCTTCTCTATTCACGCATCCTTCTGTGAGAGCCGTGAGCGTGGGCGAGGCCGTTTGACCTGGCTTCCCTTTGAAAGTCTCAACAAAGCATTGCGATGTTCAACCTCTTTTCCTAGAGTGAGGTAACAAATTATGAAACCGCTTCAGGAAAAGCTCTCTGCAGGCATCCTGGAGGCCTGTCTCCATCCTGGTTCCCCTTCCGACTTCTTGGAGCCCTAGCAGCTTGCAGCAGAGCCAAACCCCCAGGGGAGTTGGGAGCCCCAGAGGGAAGCAGCACCGGGGGTACTTGTCATTAGTCCTCATTTCCGTCTCTTTGTCACGAAGCAAACGTAATGTTTCCTCCTGGCGTAAGTGCGTGTAAGCCATCGGTGACAGGTGATGGGTTCGCAGCCTAAACGGAAAGTCTGACATTTGCTTCTTAATCTTGCCCCTTTCTTCCCCTCGCTTTGACTTGTCCCGCGTTTTCTGTGGGGTGGTTAGGTTGATTTATTTGGGAGTAGAGGTAAGTACTTTACCGCCACTCCCTTTCCTTGGCGCCTAACTGGAACAGGAAACTCAGACCAAAAAAGAGAGAGCCCTGTTTCACATTTTAAATTAAAAAGAGCTGCTCACATGGGGCCCTTGATCACTTAAGAGACTACCTGGTAGTCCATTTGGCTTTACATGAAGCATTTCTGCTAGATCAGCATAGCCCGCACTGTGGACGCCTTCACATTATTTCCATTTGGAGACCCAAAATGCCACCTGTGTGCCCCGTGCACACACACACACATGAGCATGCATGCTGGCCTCCCACTCCCACCGGCTCCCCCGCTGTCTGATTTCCCCACTCCCACCGGCTCCCCCGCTGTCTGATTTCCCCACTTGGGTCCGGGCTGGTCTCCGACTGACGCTCTCGTTCATCCGTGTGATGTTTTCCCTCCTTGTGCTCTCTCCTAGAATCATCCAGAACCGCATCCTGGTTGTCATCCTGGGAATCATTGTGGTCATCACCATCCTGATGGCGATCCTCTTCTCTTTCAGAAGACACTGATGGATCTGCTGCCCCCTGGTCAGCAGCGGCGGCCACTTGTTCGGAGTAATTAAGACAAAATGGTCACATGAATCATTCTTTTGCGCTGACAGGCCCTGTGACCCCCCTCTCCCCTCCTCCCCACGGTGTGTACAGCCGAAGCACAAAAAGTGGGAAAAAAAGAGGTTCTCGTCCTGCCTGCACGGGGTGGGTTTCTCCTTGGCCTATCTTCCCTCAGACTGGCTCTGTAGCGGAGGGGTGGACACATGCTTGTTTGCCTTGTGGTCATGCCACCAGCAGTCTGCCTCACCCTCTGGACGTGTCGGGGCCCTCATGCCTTGGGAGAGGCCTCAGTGAGCCAGTCGTGGAGCACTGATGGGTGTGTCCCGTGGCTGACTGGCTGTTCCACACCCCTGGTCACTTTCTGTGACATCCCAGGATCCAAGTACAGAGAGAACCAGGTGCTGGAAGCCATGAACTTCTCCCACACAGGGCCATGATGAAGAGAGCCGCCTTTCCCGGGCGGGTACCGAATGCCATTTGTGCAGAGAATGGACTTAGTACTTTCCCTGTCTTACCTACTACTTCCTTTTTTTTTTTCCCCCAAACCCAAGAATATTTTTGCTGAGTCTGTCGAATGCTCACTTTTCACAACTTTGATTAGCGGCTGCAAGAACGATTCCCATGCCATCCCAAACTCCCGTCCTCCCCAGAATTTGCTGGCAAAGTCAGCCCTGGCCTGGCATTTAATTGTGACCTTGTCTCCCCTGGCCCGTGTAAGCATCTCTGTATCCTTTCGGTTTTAATATTTGCACTGCCAAAAGCAGTCCTCGTACATGCAAAAGGTCTGACCAGGTTCGCTCTGCAACCATTCCAATATGTAAAGAGAACATGAATATTTCAGTACGAGCAAGAACATGACTCTGTCAGTGTGAAATTTCAACTGTGATTATGAATATAGTAGAGTCCTAAAGGATGGTCCATGAGAAATAAACTTGATGGGAGATGTTCACTAACCTGCTTTCAAACATGAAGGGATTGCTGAGTGGGTGTCTTGTTTTTCTTTTTCCTTTTCTTTTTCTTAAAGAATAAAAGGATGGCTTGGATTGTTGGGAGGTTTTTTTGGCATGTGTTTTTGTGTGTTTGTTTTCTCCAAACAAACAAATGTTAGCAAACACCCTTCCTGAATGCAGTGTACATTGATGCCTCTGTATGCACGGTGAGGGGCTCTCATGTCTCTTCGGCTGTGGGTACCCGGGAGTGGTGTGCAAATGTGTTCAATTGTGATCAAACTTCAGGTGGCCCAAGCTGAGGGTGCTGCTCCCCCAGTCGTAAAGCAGAGTGTTTTACTTAAAAGTGTCTGAGAGGCAGTCCCAGAGCCCGTAATATCTTCTGAGGCTAACTGGAAGCTTTGGGTGACTGAACAGCAAGCCTGCCCTCTTCAGAAACAATGCTAACCACCTGTGCCTGGGCACCATCTCCAGGATACGGCACTGGGTCCTCTCCCGGCGCCCACCCCCAAGCGACTCAAAAGAGAACCCTGTTGAGTTATCGAAAATGCAGAATGGCAAAAGCCACCAGAGAAACAGAACTTACCCCTAGTGACCAGACCAGCACGTGTGCAGATGAATCATTAGGTGTCCTGTAAATAAAGCTTCGCCCTGACTTCGGGATGGGGGATGGGGTGGGTGTTGGCCGAGGGGAGGCCGGAACCACGTCCCTCTCTGCTGAAGGGATCCGTCCCTGCGAGGACCTTTTATTCAGATAACGGAGCTCTGCCCAGTCTAGCCCCACACGAGAGACAGCATTTCAAAGTCAGCAAACAACAAGGACAACGCGGTCCTCGTCCGGGAACTCTACTGTGTCGTGAAACAGAGCGACAGCCGAGCTGGCCTGGTGTCTGCTGATCTTAGCGAAGTGCTGAGAGCCCACCTTGAGCGAATCTTCCCCAGGCCACCCGGCAAGCAAGACTGACCTTCAAACCTGGACTCACCGGCTCTGAGACCTTCCACTCAAACTTGGCCTCGTGCTGGACAAGTCTAAGGGCGTTCAGCGCTCCCCTTTTGTCTGTGTTCCTGTTTTCCCTCCAGTTCTATTTCTCAATCACCTCCTGCCTGTGATTTTTGCCTCAATTCAGCTTTTCTGCCCCAGAGTACCTTGGGAGTGGGAAGAAAATGAGCTGATAATAAAACTAAAACTCACTGCTCTCCAGTCAATACTGATTCATAGTGACCCCATAAGACGGGATAGAACGGCCCCCGTGGGGTTTCAAGACTGTAACTCTTTGACGCAAGTAGAAAGCCTCCTCTTTCTCCCAAGGAGAGGCTGGTGGTTTTGAACTATTGACCTTGCGGTTAGCAGCCCAGCGTAAAAGCACTACATCGTGGCTCCATCAAACCCACCTCCTAGACCAGGAAAATAAGTGCTCTGGGAGGAAGTGAGTTGGGAGGGCCCAATCTTCCTGGAAACTGGAGGAGAAGACAAATGGAGGAGCCCCAAGGACAACCAAGTACCCTTTCTCCTGCCTTACCCCGCAAGTGGAGAACACCCCAGATTCCAGGTGGGACATGCACCTGTGAAAGGCTCCAGGTGCTTCAGAGGCAGAGGCTAATGGATGCTTGCTTTTGTCGTTGGGAGCCTTTGTAAAAGATGACATTTGGGGTTGGGGTAGAGAAAAGGAGGAAGAGGAGGAGGAAGCTCTAACCATCTAAAATTCATCCCGCCTACGCCTACGTAGTCTCCCTGATAGAATAAATAACGCTGATGCTGCCCGACTCCAGAATCAAAAGCAATTTAATTAAAGTCTCTTAAGTTGTAAAGAGTTTTAAATGCCCCACGTCGAAGGCCTGCAAGGACGGCGGGGTTGACGGCAGCCACCAGGCCTGGGCTAGGAGGCCATTTGCTATTCTGTTTAAGGCAGGCTGGATTGAAGAAATCATTAAAAAGCAAGCAAACTTATTTTGGAACCAGCTTGGTGGGGGGTTTGCTTTGCTACTGCTTCTGAGCCCTGAGCTTCAAAGGCTGAAATTAATGGTGAACAAAATTGTGCGGCTCTGGCCATCCCATGCGGGGCAAGCCCATTGAGGGTTATCATTAAGTAAAGAAATCAAGAAGGGGGGGAGAAAGCCTGCCTGTTCCAAAAACCCCATCAGATAATGACCCTAGTGATTGGGTTTTCAGTACCAAACAGCATCCAGAGAAGATCTGCCCCATGGAAGGAGGGAGGGGGAAAAGAATAAGAAAAGCCACAAGCCACTGTCTTTCCCCTCTCTCTTTCTTTTCGTTTCTTTCTCTTTTTTTTGCACATCTTTTCTTTAAAACTGTCAGATCATTTCAGTATTTCAAATCCGAGGAAAACAGCCTGCCTGCTGCCGTATTTGAAGTTGTAATGGTGTCAAAAAGTCACGACTGACTGACAGCCGTCAGTCCCAGAGGAGCTCATTAAATCATAAAAACTTGACAAGGAAATAATTGCACGTTGCCAGCACTTGGCGCCTGTTTAGACGTTTTATTTTCTTTCATTATTAGTCCCCACCATTACGTTCATTAACAAATTGCACTAAACAACTGTTAAGGGCTAATGATTTGTTTATCGCTTATTATTATTATTATTATTATTATTTAAACATTAGCTGTGTCATGTGGTACCCCAGCAGCCTCCCGCCATCCTCTGACTGAATATTTTTCCACTCCGAGCTCTGGGTACGGTTGGAATATGAAATAGATTATTCATTACTCTCCTCTTTGCCACTGATTTGGTTTCATGTAGCGTCTTCCGCAGAGAAAGATGAAAACTTGTCAAAAATAGGTTATATCTTATTCGAAGGGGCAACAATAGCAGCAGGTACAGGCACGCTTTAATATTTAATTAAGGTTGATGTTAACCCCTTTAAATGACTTTAGCTGTAAGTTACATTCAAATGCAGAAGAGGAAAAAAAATAATTGTTCTTAATTTGCAACCTGTTCAGCAGACATTCTTCATGGAGTTAGCTGGAAATTTTAGAGCGGAGTTTTTAAATAATGAAATTTCCCGGCATAAATATGTATGGCCCTTTGCCGACATCGTTGGGAATTAACTACTTTTGCCCACATCCAAGCAATGATCTCCTCATTGCCTGGGTTTGAATGGCTAGACTAGTGGAGCACTCGGTGCTCGGGCATGGAGGGAGCCTCTCTGGAACAAGGAAAAGGCCAGAGTCAAGGACAGTGGGTCGGTTGGTTAGATTGGTGGGTGGTGGGTTGGCTGGTCGATGGCAGCAGGGACCAACTTCAAAGGAACCACTGTGAGTCCCCAGTCTCCACCCACTGCCCCATGGCTTAACTTTGGAGTTGGAAGACTGTGGCCTGGATAGAGAAAGAGAGAGAGAGTGCAGGACAGGGGACTAATGGAAGCATTTAGTACAATGGTTCTCAACCTGTGGGTCGCGACCCCTTTGGGGGTTGCACGGCCCTTTCACAGGGGTTGCCCGATTCATAACGGTAGCAGAATGACAGTGATGAAGTAGCAACAAAAATAATGGTATGGTTGTGGGGGTTCCCACCACATGAGGAACTGTATGAAAGGGTCACGGCATGAGGAAGGTGGAGAAACACTGCTCTAGTTGGTCCAGAAGGAGCTCTAGTGAGGCGGTGGTTATGCACTGGGCTGCTGACCAAGACACCACTAGCCTCTCCCAGGCAGACAGAGGAGATTTCTACTCCCGTAGAGTTACCGTCTCAGAAACCCACAAGGCAGCCCTGCCCTGTCCTGTAGGGTCACTAAGAGTCAGAAGAGATGCGATGGCAGTGACTTAGAGTGGGTCCAGGCGTCTGGAGCATGAGGATGCGGGGCAGGGTGACCGGGGCTCATGGCACTGGTGATAAGCCCTAGGAGCAGTGTTTTGCTGGAACTGACCCTCTGCCCGCCCCCTTTTCTTTCTGTGACTTGCCCTTGGGAAGTTGATCTGTTTCCATGAGCCATGCACTTGAGGGCCCCGAAAGGAAACCGCTCCATCAAATCATCCTAGACCAGAAGGTGACGGCAGTCTCCAGGTGACAACTGATGGGGACCTGTGGTCACCCAGCCTGTTTCTGTGGGCTCACTGATCTGAGGCCTGGTGTGTTGGCATTTGGGGACCCAGGCATTCTGGGCCCTGTCAGGGAATGGGGACTGTATTGCTCCCCGTCTCTTTCTACTCCCACCTTCCACTCTCAGTGGGATGAGACCTCTCAGGCAGCAACACCTGTGGGTGTGTAGGGAAGACATGGTGTCCACGACAGGCTGGATGCTGAGTCTGTCGGCACCACCCACCCGATGACAGATGGTCCTGTGGGAGTGGTGGCCTGGGAAGGGCCAGCCTAGCAGTGATGAGCCAGGTGAGGCCTAGATTGAACTTCTCTCTCCGCCCTCATCTACCTCATCACTTGTGATGGTGGTGGTAGCAGATATACCAGGTTCTGCCGGGTCTCAAGTCTTCATTTCAACCCTCCCTAGTCATGTGACATCCTAGCCTCCCACCCTTGGGATGGATGGCGCTCATGGTTTGGCAGAATATGTGCTCAGAGTCCCCGGTCCGGCTCCCAGAGACCTTGGCTGAAGGTTCTACCTGGCTCGGTGCTAAACAACAGCCCTAAACTAAACTCCATAAAACATCTCTGCTTCTCCGCTGTGGCCCAGTGGGCCATGTAACTCTCAGACAAGGTACCCACCAGTGCTTGGAATCGATGGCACTGCATCCACAAAGGGTGACAGTGAAGGATGCCCAAGGGCACCCAGGCCAAGGAAGGGTCAAAGCTGGATACAGCAACTTGACATCGGTAATGGAGCCAGTGTCGGGTCCTCCTGGACCAGGAAGACACCAGGAGCTCTGAGAGACGCTCCCCACCACCATTTAGGATCCAGATCAGTAACAGAGGGAGCACACCAGAGGCAAGTGGGGAACAACCAAACGGCAGGACAGGTGGGTTCTGGGTGAAGAGTCGAGGGACAGATGGAGCGCAGGCGACAGGAGGTGGCTGGCAGGACCCTTACCCAGGGGTGGCCAGGAGGAAGTAACGCAGGCAAGTCCTAGACCCATCAGAAAGAGGGGACGCCAAGAGGAGGGAAGGCATCTCTCCCGGAACACCTTCCA